TTATTAAAATAAGATAAATCTAGCAAAGTATGAAGAGTTTGATCAATACTAAATCATGCATGTCATGTATCACAATTTTAGTTTGATTTTTTTATTTAAAAAAAATGTGTTTGATAACACGAGTTGTGTATAATTCCTATTATACTAAATTTGTGTTACCTAACTCGAGTTCCATATTTTTTTTTCAAAAAAAAAGAATTTTTTTATTTTTTTAAATATATTATTTATTAAATAATTAATTTAAATTTAATTATTAATTTAATAGAAAATAAAAATATTTAGAGAAACATGGATAAATTTAATACAATACATTTATATTCAAATATTATATAAATATATATATATATATATATATATATATATATATATATATATATAGTCATAGAAAAAAAATATTAATAGGGAGATCGTGTCTCACAAGATGGTCTTCTTAGTTATCGTCTGAGTCTATATGGTTAGTCTTGAGTAGTCTTTTATTATGTTTGTATAGCACGTCTACGACCCTTTGATAGTTGAGGTTGAATGTTTGTTTGTCTATCATCATCATTTTCAACCCTTTCATTTACATACTGCATAGGAAACATACTAATGATAATAGTCATGAAAAGTGTTTCATTGAATGTTAAGGATGGTATCATGAAAGAAGTGGAAAACATATATGTTTCAGATGGAAATGAAGTAAATGTTATGAGAAATTTGTCATCCAAATTGAAATTGAACAAATAAATTTTGAAGTTAACCAACATATCCAATATATGGATAAGGGTGTTGATGACTCGACGGACCAACATGTTGTGACTTAACTTACCAACATGGACATGACTAGGTTGACCAATATATTGAGACTCATGTTGTTGTGTATGGTATTGTTAAAAAAATTCAATATTAGTTTGATATCAATATTATATATATAAAATAAAATTATTGGTATACTTACTTTGTAATCTGAATCTTCTTTTTAAGTAGAGGAAATATATCTGATAGTATGCTGAAAATATCATATCATATATGTTATATTTTCATGCAAATGACTATTTCAGCTAAACTCGTTTCTTTGAATTAGTCGATTGTGATGATCATTCCACTTAGTAATCCAAGTTTCGTGGTATTGAGGTCAAAATATATTAGTTCTACCTCTCATATCTTCCCTATGAAGTTTGTCAAGATTGATCGGATCTTCAAAAATTGGTTGGTGAAGGCAAATTGTCTCATAACCCAATTTATGGATGAGGTTCAATAGTAACAAACATATAATTGCAATTATAGCACAACTTACAGGAGAAATCTTAACATTTATTAGTCATTGTAACTTAACTTAATGATAAGGAGTCCACAAAAATTGATTTATTTTATAGAACGTGTGAAATTAGAATTATTATCATTTAAGAAATACATATTGAAAGTTATAATAAATGAAAAACCTCATTTGTTTTTAATTGATCAAATATTAGACGTAATATATGTACAACATATGTAAACACGTTGGACCTTTGACCTGATCGTGGCCACTTGTTGCATAGAAAAAATATACTATTATAAAATGAAGTAATATGAAAGAAAGAAATAGAATAAAAAATATAAAATAAAATTGAATACCTTTTAGACAATGAGAAACCATACCCTGCAGCAATCTCCTTATTTGTTAAATCATTTACCTTAAGACAAATGCATATAATATGATCTCACTTCCAAGCTTGGAGCAATAACATGCATCCTCCAATATTCTCTTGATGGTAGTCAATATCATGATTTGACACTCTATACAAACGTGTCAAAAATCCTCAACTATAGTTTGAAACTATAGTAAGGTCATGTAGTAGGAGATACATTAAGTGCACTCTAGATGTTAAAGTATCAGGTAATAATAAACTCTCTATTATTGTCAATATATGTGCTCTGACATGTTGTGCCACAACGTTGTCATCTGCATCATCTGGAAGGTGTTGGAACGAAGTATTTAACCAAGATAGTTTTATTGTCTTGCTTATAACAACACCTTGCGGTGGGGTGAACCTAATAATGGTTTGTAAAAGCCGGTCAAATCTCCATTACTGAGACTTGTAACCGGTAGTCCATCAATGGGTAGACCTAATTGTAGGGCCACATCTTCTTATGTAATTGTGGCTTCTTCGATGAGAAAATGAAAGGTGTGAGTTTCAGTTCTCCACTTTTCAATTAATGTTGTGATTAAATAATGATTGACATCACCCGTTCCAATTGTCATCAATTGTCGATCAAATTTTTAACCCAATCATCCAACATGTGTTCATGTTTTGTTATCCACATGTTATATCGTCTAAAACATAATAAGCTTTCATTTATTTCTCATATTGTTTTTGTGATATGTTTATCCTAGAAACGTAATAAGGACATATAAATATACAACTATTCTAGGAAGTCATTTATGTAATAACAATAATATTAACAATTTAACAATAATATTATAAATAATAATATTAACATTAATAACAATAATATTATAAATAATAATATTAACATTAATAATAATAATAATATTAATATTAATATTAATAATAATATTATTAATAATAATATCAACATTAATATTATTATTAATAATAATAATAATATTAAAAATCATATTCACAATAATATTATTATGATAATAATATCATCGTAAAAATAAATTATGGTTCAAAAATTTTGTAAATGAAATAAAATATTATTCACAATAATATTAAAAATATTATACATAATAACATTATATATCAATAATATTAACAATAATAACAATATTAATAATAATATTAACAATATTTACAATAATAATAATATTAATAATAATATTAATAATAATATTAGCAATATTAACAACAACAATAATAATGATAATAATATTAACAGTAGGAAAATATCATGTTATATTATTGATTGCAATTTCATGCAATAGAAATATATTTTCACTTGTATTTGCAAATAGAGGGTGAAACAAAGAGGCATTGGTATGGTTCTTAATTACAACTTCTAAGATATTACGTTATGTCTCAAAATAATAATTTATGCATGATAATAGACAGAAAAAATAAATATTGTCAGTTTTATAATAAAAAAATCTTGATTAGAATGATCTCACCTCAGAGTAATGTGTTCGCGATATTACTTCAAATTTCAAAAAAAAGTTCAAAAATATTGATTTGAAAAGACAAATCATCAATCTAGGTAAATTTTATAATCTACACAAATGTTTTTCTCTAAATAACATATGATGTCTGAAATTATATTTTTTCTATGCATGATATAAAATGAAACAATCCAAACTTTTAATAAAACTATATGTTTTAAGGTGTAACTTTGAACAATAAATGTCCTGGTTAGATGACATTCCATTGAAGAAATGGACTCAAGTTTATGATGGAGGGAAGCGATATGGACATATGACAACAAGTCTTGTTAAGTCCATGAATTTTGTTCTCAATGAAGTACAAACTTTACCTATATTTGCCTTAGTAAAAACAACTTTTGAAAGAACTAAATTTTGGTTTGTGGAAAAAGGCATGAAAGAAAAGTACATGTTACAAGCTAGACACGAGTATCTAGAACATATTACTACACTGCTTAACAAAAACTAATAATGTGCTCGAATGTGTCATGTTCAAAGGTATAATCGAGATAATTTTGAGTTTGACATACAAGACCAATCTAATCCCCACCATCATTAAAGATAAATAAGTTATACAATTCGACTAAATCAATGATGGTGTGATTGTAGGGAATTCCAAGCCCTTCGACTCTCTTGTTCTCATCTTATTGTTATCTATTTCTCTTGCCATTTACAACTGGTTGCATTTATCGATCTGATGTACAAGTTAAAAAACATTCTTAAGGTGTATGAATTTCAATTCCATTCGATTCAAAATGAAGATTATTTGTATAATTATACATGTCCAAATTTTTGTCCTGATCCTATTATGCGTTGAGACACGTAAGAAATACCTACAACTAATCAAAATTGAAATAAAATGAATGTAGAAATTGAAAATTGTTCTTACGAGGCGAACACAAGTTAGTAATGGATGTAATTAGTGATTATGATTGGGTGGACGGAAAAATTACCTTGCTTTCTTATCACTTTACAATACTTATGTGACTGATTTGGTGATTGAAACCGAGACTTTTTTTTACCAAATACATATCTCGAAACATTAAAAAAGTGCATATCAAACCATTGATTTTTAGATTTGATTTTTCAAAAACATTCCAGATTTTTATATTTATTTTCAAGAAACACTTTTAGATTTGATTTGCTAGAACTATATTCTGAATTGACTATTTTAAAACTCATTTCCAGAACACATAATTTATAATATATTTTCAGAATACTCAATCTAAAAATAAGTTTTAGATTAGATCGAGTGTTTCATAAATATATTTCAGATTCATTGTTGTTACTCTCACTTTTAACTCTAGAAATATGTTTTGAATTGAATTGTCCGATTTCCTATATACACTTTTAATCCAAATATTTTATAACAGATATAAAACATTAATAATTTCTAATTTTATAGTCAGAAAACAACTTTTTAATAAAGTATAAAAACACTCAAACGAAAATACATGAGTAATGAAGATGTAAAAGAGATAGTAAGAGAATTTCAAACAAAAATGAGTAAAAGTATTTTAGTTATTTTATAAGAATTTTGGGAATGCAGAAGGAAATTACCTGATGAGAAATATGGAGTCAATTTGCTGCATATTTGTAAGAAAATAATAATAATAATTTGAATTCATCATTATTGTAAAAATCTTTTTTACCCTGGATGAATAATGATTTATCATATAATTAAAAATGTTGAGTTTTCTAATGATTATTTTTAAAATAAAATTACTTTTTTAGTTACTTAATTATGTGATTTTTTTAATAAAATATTAAAACTAAACTATTGAAGAAACTAGTTGGTTGGTGTTAGCAAAAATTATTTAAGGCCAGAAAAAGGTTTGGTGGAGTGAGGACCAGAGAATCCCTATCTCTTCCCAAATTTATGGACAAAACAAAATATGTTTTCATTTTTATGTTGCCATCAAAACTACTAACGGTCTTTGAGTTAGTTATTTTTCTTCCTTCATTCTCCAATCACTGCCTACTACTTCATGCTATCATTCTTATGGCCCTTCAAGCTTTTTATGGCTCTGCATGTTGTTTCCATTCCCACCTTCTTCACTCTTCTTCTTCCACAACTGTATCTCCACCATTCCTTTCTGCAAGGAGGTTTCAATCATGCCCTTCAACAAGAAAATCTCTCAAGTTGAATTGTAGTTCAAGTGGCAACAATGATGACCAAGTATGCTTTTTGTGTTAATGGGGTTTCCCAACTTTGCGTCTTGAAACTTTGTTTCAAACTGTTTGTTAGTTCTAGTGCAGGATTATCTTCTGGATGCTCCAGTTTCCGTTGGTGATGGATTCTCTTTCAGTGGAGGTAAAAACAATGGGTGGATCATGGATGTGTGGAAAGCAGCTTAGATCACAGGCTTATACTTTTTGTGGTTCTGAATTTATTTTCAATTTTTTAATTTTACCGTTTCTTTTATTCTTACAGGAAAGTATTCAGATGGGCCTAGTCCAAGTGATGAATGGTTTAAGCAAGGAAAAATGGTGATTAGTAATTAATTTTCACCCTTTTTTTTTATTTCTCAATTTCTGTTAAAAGGGGGGTTCCAGTAATATTCTACAGCAATGTTATTGTGCATCTTATTTTTTAGTGACCTTCTTCTACCTCAAGGGTTTTTGTTTTGTTTCTGCGAAAATAACAATTCATGTATTCAATCCTTTAATTATGCAAAGTGTCATGATTTGGTCACTCTTTGCTGCAATCATCAATTTCGATATATTATCAGGTAAAAGCCTATTCAATTCCTGGCACTGGTGAAAAGGCAAAAGATCCAATTTTTGGACTTGCTATGGGTGCTGGTTCCCAAGCTACTGGCGATCATTTTAGGTAAACTAGATTCATCTTTACTTATCCAGTGATTTTCCATCTTGTTATTTTTTTTTTCTCGTTGAAGAACCAGGACAATTAAAAAGAAAAAACAGGTGGGAAAACAGATGGCTAATTGAACCATATTTTGTATATATGATTTACATGGTAGATGGTTTTGTGTTGAAAGCGGAAGTGCCGATAATCCTCTAGTGATACTAATTCATGGTTTTCCTTCACAGGTGAGCGTTATTTATTGACACTAATGTAAGACAGGACCTCTAGAAATGTGTTTGTTATATGAAACTTCAATTTCTTACTTTTAAATTATAATGATATGAGAATCAGATTACTTTGCTTTGTTTTCTTAGTTATTTTAACTATTAATTCTAATGCACCCATGCGTTGTGTTATGTCCACAAACAAAAATCAGAATTGAATTGTATGTGAAATTGAATGCATGTTCATGACTCTAAAGATGCGTGAAACAATTGTAAAGAAAAACTGCAAACAATTATAAGCCAAAGCCTATTCATCCTGAATGTGTTTAATGCTATTAAATAGTTGTCATAGTGACATTCTATTAATCAGAAAACCAATCTTGATTCATTAGTGTTAAGGTTCCAACATAAAATCAATTGGCAATATGTGGAATAGCCTAACATTATTTAAACCATACCAAATGATATGAGGTAGACGATGTGGGACTTTCAACACCCCCTCCAATGAAGCCTGCCGGACCAGGCAAAGGACAACTTTTGGCCCATGACAATAACTAGAAAGATGATAGGCTTTGACTCTGATACCATGTTAAGGTTCCAACATAAAACCAATTGGCAATATGTGGAGTAGCCTAACATGTATTTAAACCATACCAAATGATATGAGGTAGGCGATGTGGGACTTTCAACAATTAGCAAATATTAGAATATCAGTAAACTACAGTTATCATTTTTGTTAATAGCTGTTACAAAACTAAATCGGTTGTACATTTTGAAATTATCTGGTGTTTTCTAGTTTCTGTTGGTTTTCAAAATTGTCAGACTATGTGTGATATTTAAACTTAGGAGGTTAGTCGTGGTTACTTCTGAGATGGATTTAAAGGAGATAACTAATACAGTTATCTCATGATGTTAATCTGTAGTAATATTGTGACACTTATTGCAATTTGCTGTAATGCCAACAAACTGGGGTGTTGTGTGTCACTTCTTCATCGCTATATGGGTGTTGAAGTGGAAACCATCATCCCTTTCCATCTTTTCTTTCTTGTTTTCCCTGCATCTGGGATAAAAGTATTGCTATTAGGTGTTACAAGATTCTTAGAAAGATTCATGGAGTGATCACAGAGGTGGCTGTGTCAGTTTGGTTGATTAATCGCTGGCTGGAATCAAGGGTACTGCAATATCATGTATATCTTAATACTAATTAAATACATAGAGAACAAAGCTCTTTTCAATAGAAGCTACAAACTGAAAATAATATAATCCAAGAAATGGAAACAGGAAAAATGTTACCTAAGAAAGGAAGCCAATGAGATAACTAAAATAGGGAAACTACCGAATAGAGAATATTTGCAATGTTTGGACTGTGGTTGGGTGACATGTATTCTAGTTAGATTTCAACCTAAACCTAATTGACATTAGGCGAAATGATCAACAAATATATAAGTCATACTTGGAGAATTGAGATAGGTGATGTAAGACTTTTCCTGAGAATTCTGTTATGAATGAAGTAGGGGATAAAAAGAAAGTGTTGAGACTGCTAAACAAGTGTCATGTACATGGGATTTGGAATGTGGGGTGAATAGAAGTTGGAATTAGTTTAAGGTTAGGGTGAAAGGTTGAATAACTATGGACGCTATTCGTCTATTGGTCAATTACATGCCTGAAAGTGGTGTTATTCAGTGAAAGTCCTTTGTCTTCTAGCTGTGAGTCTATTTGTAACATCCTTAAAGCTTAATAAATACCATCTTGAGGGTTAGTGTAATGTCTGATTCATTATCATAGAAGTTTGGATTCACTAAAACATGTTAGAATATTAGTAGTTATGACTTTATTTTAGTAAGTGTTTATTAGCCCTGTTATTTGTCCTTGATTAGCTCTTGTACTGGATGAAGTGATAGTACACAGAAAATGGAATTGTATGTATTCATGGACTGTGTTTCTTCATAAAAGTCAATGTGAATATATTACTTCTTATGGTTGTAAATGTTAATAACTGTGTCATTGAGTTATTTTATAGCAAACATGTTCTATATATATAGATATTAAGAAACCACAAATTTACTCGCAAATTGATGATGCTTCCAGGCATATTCATATCGCAAAGTTCTTCCAGTACTCTCCAAGGACTATCATGCCATAGCCTTTGATTGGCTAGGTAAGATCACAATTTTATTATTGAATTTAAAATTTGTCATAATTTATTTGTTGGAATCTTTCTGTGACATTCTGAGCTATAATTTTCTTTGATCAATTTATGGATTTTTAATTTATACAAACCAAAACAATTGATGTTAGAATCAGCATGAAAGGATTTCACAAGAATGCCTTCAATCTTGTACACTTGATCGACCTTTTAGTACTAAAATATACCTGCATAATTCTCCTCTGCTTTGCAACTAATGAAATCTCTTTCTGAACAACTACTGAGGGCCACATTTTGTTTGGTATTTTTTCACCATTCAAGCATGTCATTATCCATAAGATGAGGCTTTGATTTATATCTAAATTAGCAGAGTTGTACTTCAATCTGTGTGTAAGGACTGGCCTCGTTTACAAATTTTTATTCAACAAATTTATCAATTAATGGATTCATGTTTTGCTAATTCTTTTTTAACATTTTTACCACATTTCCTTTGCTTATTAATTCACCACTGCGTAATAGGAAATGATCACTCCATTAATTCTTTTCTCTCAGGATTCGGGTTTTCTGATAAGCCTCAACCCAGATATGGATTTGACTACACACTAGATGGTAAATGCTTAAGTGGCCTAACCAATCTCAAATAGTAACTTGCTGTTCATTGAGAACTCTTGTTTTCACAAAAAAGGTGCCTAGAATGTGTTGTTTTTATTCTTTCCTGCAGAATATGTGTCATCATTGGAGTCACTTATAGATGAACTGGCTGTTACAAAAGTCTCACTTGTTGTCCAGGTAAGTTTCCTTAGTTGAAAAAATGTATCAATCTTCTAGCCAAAGTTATCTCTTCTTTGACATGTAATAGGAAGTTCTTTAATCTTCTTTGCTCACAGGGATATTTTTCGCCTGTTGTAGTTAAGTATGCAAGCATTCACCAGGACAAGCTCAGCAACTTAATACTCCTTAATCCACCTGTATGTTTGTTTTAGCCATCAAATTCAACTGTCTCTACCATGACATCATCAATCAACTGAGAAGTTTCCCTTATTTTTAGTGTCATACAACTTCATTTTTCTTCATATTTCTACAAACTTCACATTATCTTCATATTAATATCAGTATCTTTCTGAAGTGCCTTCCTAAATACTTCTTAACAGTCATCACCTTGAATCCCTTCTTTTTTTATAAGTTAACAGCTAAACATGCCAAGCTCCCACCAACATTGTCCATATTCAGCAACTTTCTTCTGGGTGAAATATTTTCACAGGTATAAAATTTTTATACATCTTATGAAGTTTTAATATGTGCCTTTTATTTGAATTAACAGTTTGGTTGGTCCCTAAAGGTTTGACTGACATAATCTGCATGATCAGGATCCATTAAGGGCCAGTGACAAAGCTCTAACAAGCTGTGGCCCCTATAAAATGAAAGAAGAAGATGCAATGGTTTATAGACGACCCTATCTTACATCTGGTTCCTCAGGCTTTGCACTAAATGCAATTAGCAGGAACATGTCGAAAGACCTCAAGGTGAAAATTTACTGGTTCACATGTATTTTCTCTTACATATTGAAAGTATGGTGGATGATGACTAAGGGTTGTTTGGAAACTAGTTGACACCAAATCGAATGAACATTTGTGGTGTTTGCTTTGCTTGATTCAATTTTCCTTTAGAGATATGTGGAGGATATGCATGGAATACTTAAGGACAAAAACTGGAAAGTTCAAACCACACTATGTTGGGGCCAAAGAGACCGCTGGTTGAACTATGATGGAGTGGAGGATTTCAGCAAGGATTCTAACCATAAACTCATTGAAGTTCCTACGGTAAATACATTACTCATTTCCTCATTCTTGACTTTGCCTAGTTTTTATTTTCACTTGTTGCCACTAGATGACATTGTCTTTTCCATGATTACATGTAGCTGAGAGTCTATATGATGTATGGATACGATACAAGATATGATACGTATTTTAGAAGAAAAAAATTAGGAAACTATATATACAGTAAGATACGTATTTAAAAAAATACAATAATTCATAAAGATAACAGAGATGTATAGTGTTCTTTCTCTGGGTTTTGCTGCCTAATCTTTTCTTCGATGTAGTTATCCATCTCTTGAATATGGGGTTTGAGCTTTCCGATAATTCTCCGAAGACAGTGATTTTTTAGTCTTCTTTTAATTTTGAGATTTCTGCAAAGAGTGGTTTGTAGTGCTTCTTCAAAGTAGAATTAAGTAAATCCAAATTTCAAATCACACATTTTTAGATATTATTTAACTAAAAAATATAAATCATTGTTATTATTAAATATTTTCCATTATTTACATATAAAAATAATATTATCATTCTTATTATTTTGTTTTTAAAATAGTTTATAAAGAACAATTTTCTTCTTTGGTTTATGAAAGAATAATATTTATGTTTCTATTTTATATATGTTTCTTGAACTTTTATTAGACATAAACCATTAAAAAGTTTGGATGCTTAACCGATATACATATTTTTGAAGTATCTAAAAGTATTATATTTAAAATAAATATAAATATTGATGTTTCATTAATTTAGATATTTCATCGATAAGTATTGATGAAGTATATGGGTACATGAGGTAAAATTGAGGGTGCTTCGTAGTTGTGAGCATATATTTGAAAAGATTTTGCCTCATCCTATTCTTTTTCTTTAACAAGGTGCTCATAAATGCTTGTAAGATCAAACTTCTACAACATATCACTACTTCTAACACTCCTAATTCACCTTTGTGTTCATCTCGTTGATAATCCCTATTTGAAGCAGTGTTTATTATTAGTTACAAGATCATGCCTTGGTCTATCCCAATTACCCTAAGGTCAATTTTCTTATGCGTATTTCCAAAGGACAAAGGTAGAATTAACTTCTTGCGCTTTGTAGGCTGGTCATCATGTGCAGGAAGACTGTGGTGAAGAAGTTGGACAACTTATTTGCAGGATAATAAGCAGAAATAGCAGTATATGAGGATATTTTCTCTTTGCTCCTTTATGCTCAAAGTTTTTGTTACATTTTTTTCTTCTCTTTTTCCTTTTCTCTGACCTTTTGATAAATCTTGATTTGTGTCAATCTTTCTTTGCCCAGATAGGCATTTTTTAAAGTAAAATAATCAGTTGTGTATCTTATCTAAATTTCATTTGGAAAAGAGAACCGTTAGGCAGAGGAAAAAGTTATGGATTATAAAGGATAATTGTTCCACTAAAAAAGTGTGGAACTCGTATCGGGTATCATTAACATCAATTACTAAGAAAGAAGAAAACGTTATAATTTGAAAGGTTAGTAGTTTAAACGAGTGTTCTTATTTTATGTTTACTTTGATGATATTATTTATGTTCGAGATATTATACGTTTTGAAGTTTTGATTTAATTATTATAATTTTATTCTTAAAAAATACAGTTAAAAAAAGAATGATATATATAAATTATTCTTAATCTAAAAAAAGAATGATATATATAAATTATTCTTAATCTAAGTAATATGAAACTCATTAAAATATATAAAATTACAGTAATTTATCTAAAAACTCAACATTAAAATATATATCATTAAGTATTTTATTAAACTATTCATATAATACATATTTGAAATTAGCTCATGATGATTTTGTCTTTAGAAAAGATCTTAATCATTGGAAACTTATATTCAAAATTTTATACTAATAGTAATTATATATAAGCAAAAAGAAGGATAAAAAAGAATTCATGCCAATAAGCAAGGACAATTTGGAGAAGTAGATGTAGCTTTTCCATGGGCATTATTGCAAGAACAAGAAACCGCCTTTCCTGGTAGAGCAGAGACAATGTCGATTTGATCCAATGCAATGTCGAAACAACCTTGTGGACCACAATTTAATGTAATTGCTTTATCATACACACATGTTCCTTGAAATCCACGGTATGTGATCCCACTCACTTCCACTCCACTCTAATTATACCAAAAATGCAACTTTAATAAGTAATAAATAAATAAATAAAATTGAACTCAAATAAATATATCAAATTTATGATTATTTCTGGTTTATATATTATTCAAACTTTCCTATTTCTAATAAATCTATAACTTCAACTTATATTTGTATATATTACTCAACTTTTTAATATTTAACAAGCGTAAAATTTCATCTTTTATACTTTCATTCAATCTAAATTATTTACAAATCAATGATTTCTTAACAATTTTTTTAAGTGCTACTCTTAATCAATATACGTAAAAATGTAAAGTTAAGTGAATACCTTTGAATAATCATCAGTGTAGAATTGGTCAATAATTATTGGGTTTCGGGCACGTATCAATGTAATTTTCTCAAAAGTTATTCCTTTTGCATAACCTGATCCACCCTGTAAAAAAATGGACAATATATGAAATAGGACTTTCAAATTGTAAGAGAAAAGGAGAAAGAAAAAAATTTCATTTTACTTGAAAAAAAAATTAATATTTTATGACTATTTTAATCATATATAATTTTTCCACTTAAAATACAAATAAGAAAAAAAAACATTACTTACTGCAAATGTCTTGATTCTGGCTCCATTTGTTGTGTCTGTGAAGTTGCAATTTTGAACATGAACTTGTTCCACTGAATTATCATTGCTTTTACCCAAGCTTCCAATGCTGATATATATTAATTCATTCATATAGTCAAAGTTAAGAATATATATATCAAAACATATAAATTTAATCAATGTGAAAGTGAAAAATCTTTAACTGTAATACTCATCTGATGTATAATATGCAATGTGTCTGATGATTCCATCAAACACTTAATGTCATTTTCATATTCATAAGTGTGTTCAGTTAAGATAGGAAGATACCATTTCCACAAACTCACATTCATTAAAGTAATACAAAATTTATATGAAAAAAAAACCTAATTCCATGGCCTGGTCCACAAGCAATCCCAGTAACATTGACATAAGAGCAGCCACCACTGATGGCAACACAATCATCACCTATTCAGAAACACACTGTAAGTTAAAACTGAACATGTTATACTGAAATCTTTCAACTCAGTTCATATATATATATATATATATATGCATGAGATGAGATGAAAAGCAGGTTTACCAGATGCTATAATTGAATCTCTGATCCAGATATTTTTGGAGGCAGAGACATCAAATCCATCAGTGTTGGGACTGTTAGCAGGAGAACGAATACTGATGCGAGAGAATTTGGCACCAACACAATCATTGACGCATATGTGAGCTCTTGGACTGTTAATGATGTTCAGGTAATTAACAGTAAGACCATTGCATGCATTGAAATTAATCACCTGCATCGTTCATATCACAGATTAGTCAATGAATTAGCATATGAAACGATATCAAGTTATGAGAAAGAAAGTTCAGAATAATCAAACCGATGGTCGTTGACAGCTTTCGCATGGCCACCAAGAAGAACCCTTGCCATCGATTAATCCTCCACTTCCATCGATTGTGAGACCATTTATATTTGTCATCGAAATCCATGTAGAAGTATAAGATACCCATGCTTTCTTCACAGGTGCAACTAGTTTTCCTCGAATCTGCAACAACAATGGTAGAAAATTGTATAGAAATAAACCCTGAGATGTGAAATGAAAAATATAATTTGAAATGAAACATAAAATTCAATCCTTCTTAAATAAAAGAAAGTATATATTAATTACATTTACTTTTCTATTTAATATTTAGGAATAAAACATGCAGAGGATTAAATGGATGTTATAACATCAAATACAAGAGATGATTAAATTATTAATTTACTGTGGACCACTCCCTTTTTATTTATGAGAGAATTAATTGAAATAAAAAACAAATTAACAATCATAAAAACAAAAAATAATAACATTTATTAGTAATTCTTTAATTTGTTTTAATAAAAATGGATATACATGATCTCAGGTGAACTAGAAATACCAATATTAGGATATTATGGATTACCAGTTATAGAATAAATTATCTGATATTATAAATATTAGATCAATCATTCTCAATATAGTGCATTACCATGAAAAAAATTATTTCAAAATGAGATGGTACAACGAAAATATCTTCCTATTAGACCAATATTAGATTACTCATTAAAAACATCGTTATAAAGTTTCAACAAGGTATTCTAGAATCATATATCATTTATTATACATAAAATATTATTAAAAAAAAAATACAATATTTATAAGAAAAGAGTATGTGAATAAAATGTTAGAAATACCTGAATTTGGATACTTGAGGCTTGGCAAGGACCCTTTAAGGTGAAGGGAAACAACAAGAAGACATAGTTTGGAGGTATGACTAGAGTTGACTTCCCTTGAGCTCCACATATGCTTTGCCATGCTCTTAAAAATGCCTGCCATCAATTTCAAACAAAAATATCTTCTTAATGATCAACTCAATTGGTGAAAACAAAATCTTTTTTATTTTAATAAAATATTTTTATTTTCATCTCTTAAAAAGTATGAAATGACTACTTTTATTTCTTTCTATTAATTTTAAAGTAAATAAAAAATATATTTTACAAAATTTACAGTTTCTTTTTTAAATCACATGTTGAAAATATTGTATAACATAGTGACTGGTATAAAAATGAGAATTTCTCTTACTTTTTATTTTTTATTTTTATAAATTAATATACAATACATGATTATATATATATATATATATATATATATATATATATATATATATATATATATATATATATATATAAACATTTCAACTGTGTACATATATTTTTATATACAACCATCATATATATTATATCAAAAAATTATTAATAGAAGAATATAAATACAAAAGAATTATATCATAATAATTATACCAAAACTCATTATAAAATATCAAATGAACTTACGTTTTGAAGAATCTTATCTATCATAGAAAATTCTATCATAAAACACATAAAAAAAATTAATGGATGTAAATAAATAAATTTATGTGTTTTAGGGATGAAAACTTAAAAAAGAATTATAGGAATATAATTATAAAATTAAATTTCCTTATATATATATATATATATATATATATATATATATATATATATATGAATTAAAATCCTATTTACGTTTTAAAATTTTTCCAAATTGATATTTCACTACCTTAATTATATAAATTTGTTTGTCAATTTGTCAGTATATATTACAATTATTCATATTTTATGTTACTCTTTTTCAGATATTTCTTTGGTCAAAATTTGTATGAATTAAATTTATTACAAATTTTTCTGAGAATTTTTTAAAACAAAATTAAATAAAATATAAAAAATGTAAAAGGTTAATTATATTTTTAGTTTCTAAAAATATGAAATAAAATTTTTGCTAAAATTAAAATCAAAATTTATTTTAATCTCTTAAATTCAGATTTTAGTCTCTAAATGTTAAATTCAACAAATGATTTTTTTTTAAGTCATTCTAATATTTTAAATTTACTCTTTAGAATCTAAAATCATTTTTCTCTTTCAATTTCAAAAACTAAAATATTTTTTTACAATCAAAAAATAAAATCAAAATTACTTTAAATTTTAAGAATTAAAAACGTAATTATTAAGGCAAGTATATAAATTACAAAAGCATAAACAAACTTACTTGTGAATCATCTGTTTCTCCATCTCCCTTAGCACCAAACTTCATCACATTATAGAATGAATCTATGGAAACATTGGACCCAAGACATATACATGGTGAAATAAAAGCAAGAATCACAACACAAATGATTAGGTTTTTCATGTTTCACTCAATACCAATTTTTTTTTTCTTGTTCTATTCTCTTTGGAAGATTAGAACTTGTGAAGGAAACACACATGTGTGGTTCAATTTATACATGAACCAATTCCCATCTATTTAAACAAATTTATTATTCTGAGTAATAAAGAAAAATAAATATCTCTTGATTTTCAATTTTCTTCTTTAAATGATATTATTAAATATTTTCCTTCCTTAGTTAATGTATCATAAATTTGAATATATTTCATTTAAACATTATCTCGAAATTTTCTTTATTTTAATACTATCCATATAAATTATATTACATTTTAATTAAATTTTATATAATTGTCAAACATTTTAATTCTTTGATATCCTAATTACTTGCACATATTGATACATAATTATAACCATTTATGTCTTTTAAATAGGTTTCACTTATTATATATTTCCGTTTTTTTAAATGTGTATACTTTTCTTTTTCAAAATCTCACATATTATATTTTGAAAAATAGGATCGATGAAGGTTGAAGCTTGATTTCACAATGTGTTTTGAAAAATTAGGCTATCAATTAAAGTTTAAAATTTGTTTTCGGAAATTTTGGATAAAATATATTTTTCATACCATAATTATAATAAATATTTATATTTAATATAATTAAAATATTTTATCTAATTTTTATATTATATTAATTATTTCATAAAAATTTTAATTGTTACCATCAAATAAATAATTTATTTTATTTTATGTAAATCATTTATATATATATATATATATATTGGATAAAATATATTTTTTCATACCAGAATTATAATAAATATTTGTAATTAATATAATTAAAATATTTTAACTAATTTTTATATAATATTAATTACTTCATTAAATTTTTAATTGTCATAGAATAAATAATTGATTTTATGTTATATAAATTATATATATATATATATATATATATATATATATATATATATTTTAAGTGATTTTTAACGGTAGATAGTGCTTAAATTCATATACATGTCAATTAAAGTTTAGATACATTATACACGTCACTTAATAATCTATATGATATACAATTAATTATTTTTTTTAATGATAATGATTAAAAACGTAATAGAGTGATTAATAATATATAAAACCAAATAATATATTTTAATTATATAAATCACAAATATTTATCATAATTATTATATGAAAAATATATTTTACTCTAAAATGTAATTCATAAATTTTGATGTACTGTTGAAAAGGAAAAAGCTAGAAATTAACATAGTAATTTAATTCATATAATATGTTTCTACTTCAATTTAATATATATATATATATATATATATATATATATATATATATAATATGATAAAATAATTGACAAAAAAAAGTTAGTGTGTGAAAGAGTTGAGAGAAAAAAAAAGGTATTTTTAGATTTCTAAAATCAACAAACTTTTAGAAAAAAAAATCACAAAATTTCTTTGTTTTCAAAACATAAAAATTAAATTGTAAAAAATTATCTAAAAAATATATCAAATTTTTAAATTTAATTTTTCTCAAATACATTTTTAGTACAACTAACTATTTGTGTGTTTTCCTCTCAAGATTTTTAAGAGTGTATTTTTTTTCAATAGGAAACAAATTAATTCACAATTATAAGTTTTGATACATTATTGAAAAAAAAATATATATAAATTAATTTAGGTCATCTAAGAGTATCTCTAAGACACGACACAAGGTTTTTTTTTCTTCAAATGAGAAACATACGAATTAATATAGCATTTAATTGATGTTATTAATGTATTACCTTTTTAAAATATTTACTATTTTTCTTATATTATTAACTTCTATATTTAGTAGATATAATATAATTATTTATAGCAATATTACGAATATTATCTTACTAAAAATATTACATTTTGAATTTTAAAAAAATTAACGCGACTATATGCATATTATAACGTAAAACTTTTTAAATGAATATATTTATATTAAACGCATCTACTGCTAAAAAAATATAATTACTAATTTTTTTAATATAATATACATATAACCACAATCATATTACGAACAAGAAAATAAAAATAAAATGATAAAATGGTGTAGAAATATAATAATTTTAGAATTTACGAAAAGAAAAGAAGTTTTCCATTTCAAACATTTTCTATAGCTGTGTATTTATTTCAGAATTTATCTGATAAAAAATTGTTCGAGACAAAATTTATAGAAAATTAAAAAATTAAGAAGACAAATGCATATTTGAGTTTCTTTACGACCTATAATAAACTCATGCGACTATTTAAAAATAATAATTAACTTTACAGAACTTCAATTTAGTTTATTTTTCTTAAGTATATACAGATGAATTATTATTTAATAATGTTTATAATTTTCTTCTTCTTTTTTTACTTAAATAAAAAAAAGTAAAACATGAAATAAAAGTATTAAAATGAGATAAAATAAAACCTAAAAGTGTTGACATTAATTTTTATTAAAGTGATTAATATTTGAGTTGGTAATAACAAAAAAATTCATGGCAATAAGCAAGAACAATTTGGAACAGTAGATGTAACAGTTCCATGGGCATTAACGCAGGAACAATAAGCTGGTTTTGTTGGTAAAGAAGAGGCAATGTTAATTTGATCCAATACGATGTCGTAGCAACCTGATTCTCCACAATTTAGGATAATAGCTCTGCCATCAAGGGATGTTCCATGAAATCCACGATATGTTACTCCTCTAATTTCTACTCCTCCACTCTAATTTGTACACCAAATTCAACACATAAACTTAACAAATCAAAACAAGATGAAATCACGATGTATATAATATGAACAATGAAAAGTTAAGTGAATACCGTTGAAGAAGCACTTTCATAGCTTTGATCTATAATTATTGGGTACCTCGTCTGTACTAAAGTGATTTCCTCAAAACTGATATGTTTTGCAGAACCAAACCCACCCTAAAAAAATGTGGATAATAAGTAAATTATTCCATTGGTAAAAGATAAAAAAACATAACAATTTTATGGATAACTAATTTCTTTTGAAATCTCTTTTCACATTTTAACTTATAACCAATTAATAATAAATAAAATTGTCTAAATGTCATAAAGATCATGACGGATTACATGAAACTTCTTAAAAAAACGAGAATTTATATATATATATATATATATATATATATATATTAATATTATTATTATTATTATTATTATTATTATTATTATTATTATAGTCGATATAGGATTTCTTAATACATATTTTTATTATTAAAATTTTTTTTTATCACACCCATATATATATATATATATATATATATATATATATTATAATAATATTATTATTATTTTTATAATCGATATAGGATTTCTTAATACATTTTTTTATTATTAAACAATTTTTTTTTATCAGACCCATAGATAGATTTTTTCATCACACTCCTTCGTATAAAAGATAATGGTCCAATATTGATAACGAATGATTTAGTTTATCACGATTACAATTAATATGTCAACATCTTTAAAATTAATTTTGATACTATCTTAGAAAACTATGAAATACTTAACTCAATTTTATAAAATTAGCTCAATGTAAGATGATAATTATAATCATCTATATACTAAAATTTTATCGTATTTCTAATCTAATAGATACAAAATTTCTCAACAAAATTCTCTTTCACATCTTATTTACTAATAAAAATGTATACTTTAGTAAGTAAGACCTGGAAGAATCTCAAATCTTTTATTTCAATTCTCTAAGTAGGATATTTATATACTTGTTAGACCTCTCGTTTATCATTGATAAGCCTTCAATTAATTTTAAACTAAAATTTTGACATGATTTGAGATTCTTGTTAACTACGTCAAGAAGGATATAGAATGAAAATACATACCGGAATTGCCTTGATTCTTGCTCCATAAAGAGTTTTGGTCAAGTTGCAATTTCTTACATAAACTTGTTCCACTGTATCATTGCTTTTACCCAAGCTGCCAATGCTGATTTACGCATTCATGTTAATTTCTGACATTTGTTCAAGTTACTAATAACAAAAGAATCATTTCATAGTTTTTTTAACGTCATGTGCAAGTGAAATTGAAGATATATAACATGACTTAAAAACACACAAACCTTATTCCATGGCCTAGTCCACAAGCAATCCCAGTAACATTCACCATAAAGGAGCCACTACTGATAGCAATACAATCATCACCTGTTTCAGAGGACAATGTAAGTTAAAACTGCACATGCATATGTAGAAGTTAATTAATGATTTCAATCTGGTTTACCAGTTTGAATAGTGGAATCCTGGATCGAGATATTTTTGGAAAAAGTAACATCAATTCCATCGGTGTTGGGACTGTTAACAGGAGCAGTGATATTGATACGAGAAAATGTGGCACCCTCACAACCATTTACGCGAATGTGAGATTTTGGACTGTCAATGATGCTCAAGTCATGAACACTGAGATAACTGCATGATTTGAAAACAAGGACCTGCATCATCCACATGAAAAGTTCAGTGTGAAGTTATTTGATGGTTTTGATGGGAGAAGAAAGATGAAGAATGTTGTAACCGCTGGTCTTGAACAAGTTGGGCATGGCCACCAAGTAGAACCCAAGCCATTGATTAATCCTCCACTTCCATCAATTGTGAGCCTCACTACGTCTGTGATGGAAATCAAACTACTCTTAAACCCTAACCATGCATCCTTGTTATTAGGTGCAACTATTTTCCCTTGAAGCTGCAACAACAGTGGCCAAATTAAACAAATGAAATAAACAAAAATACAAAGTTATATAGTAAATTTCTTTTATAGTTATATTCATAGTTTAATAATATACAAGTGATAGTGAAGTGATCTAAGAATTGATTTTGGGGTGATGAAACTTTGAATATGGAAAAAAAATGTTAAGATGAGATTATTCACCCGCTCAAAATTTTCAAAATTTGAGATTTTTCAATAATTTTTCTTAATTTATATATTAATATTATATTAATTACCAATTATACCATTATATCCTTATGTGTTTCTTAACATTTAAATAATTTATCATTATTTTAAAAATCAGATATCGAAAATCCATTTAGAAACTTATTCGTTATTTTTAAATAGTTAAATTCTAATTAAATACTGAAAAATTCAATTAATTTTTTTAATAAACACAAAAAAATTAAGAATATTCTTTTTGTATAATCCTTTTACAAAATATATAATATATTTTTTTTATAGATTAATTTAAGATGATAATATTGTATTTTTATCTTATTTTAACAATTATATATAAATTATATGTTTTATACTCAAAACCTTGGTAATTTTTATCATAACTTTTATTAATTTTTTTATCAAAAAAATTAATATTAATAAATTTATTATATATTTGTATATATTATAAAAATATTATTTTATTAAATTTAATGTAACCTCAATTAAATTTTTAAATCCATATTTTGAAAACATAGTAATTTGCACATAGGGTAACTAAGAAACTGCACAATTATTTTGTTAAAAAATTAATTGTATTAATTATTTTTTTATTTGTCTTTTAATGCCGTTTTGGAGGAATGAAATAATATAATTTTTTTATTCTAATAAAACAGTTATGCAATTTCATATTTTACCCCATTCCCTCTTTAGTCAAACATAATAAATATATGTTTAAATTATTTAAAACTAAAAAACATATATACATAATTTATATTACTTGTTTACCCCTAATGAATGTTATAAATATTTATGCTTTGTATGAAATAAAAAATATAGAAAAAGAAAATTTAAAAATCATTAATAATAAAGAAAAATTTAACACATTAATAATATTTTTTTAAAAACTCAACTAAATTAATTGTTTTAACAGGTATGTTTTATTATATAAAGATCATAATATTTCATATTTAAAGTCGTTCAAACCATAATGTCTAATTTTCAGAAAATAAATAATAATAATAATATTATTATATAATATATACATTAAAATGAAATATTTCCCTTGATCAGAAAATTTATTAATACATTTATTTATTTATTTATATATAAAAATTGATTTGATTACATGAAATAGTCTATCGTATCATATGGAAAAAAACTCACTTAGAATTTTATAATTTATATTTATATTTATAATTTTGATTCACTCAAATTTAATAATAATTATTAAAATTTTATAATTTATATTAACATTTATGATTTTGGTATTTAAATTTAATGATTATTAAATATACATTATTAAATATATATGTTTTGTATATTTACAAATTTCATTTTTCACTATTTTATCTTTTATATTTTTTATTTTTTATATTTATTATTTTTTATTGATAATATATTATTTAACAGCTTCCATGTTCATACTTAAAATCGATGGGAAAAATTTGTAATTGTTTATACATATTAGATTAAAAAGACATTTAAAAAAAATAGAAAAATCCTACCAAAAATTATGTTATGAAAGAACTATTTAAAATAAAAAGTACATTAAAAATTGTAAAGTTCGATGTGAATGAATGTGATATTGGAAATACCTTAATTTGAATAGTTGTGGCTATGCAAGGACCCTTTAGTGATAGGCCAGTCAACAAGAACACATAGTTTGGTGGCACAACTAGGGCTGGTGTCCCTTGTGCTCCACACGTACTCTTCCATGCTTTAAAAAATGCCTAACACCAATTTTAAATACAACAAAAAATATCTTATTACAGACAACATCATTGAACAAAAGATAAACAAAAATTACGCAAATGATAGAAATTATGAATAATAAAACACAAACAAACGTACTTGTGAATCATCTGTTTTGCCATCTCCCACAGCACCAAAACTTAGCACATTAAAAACAGTGTCATTGGTTCCAAAACATGGTGAAATTAAAGCAAGAATCAAAGCACAAGTGACTAGGGTTTGCATGTTTCTCGTCGGGTAAAACTTTTTGGTTCAATTTCTTTGGAAGATTAAAACTTCCAGTGTTCACTAAAGTGTTTGATGTTTGAGTTTTGTGAAGGAAGCAAAGGTGACAGGTTCAATTTATTAGAAAGTTTGCATAATTAATAAATGAGAGATAATTAAGTAATTAAGGAATGAAGAACAAATACCCAGATAAAATCATAAATAAAAATGTATGTTTTTAAAGCAATTTCATCTGTAAATGAATCCTGGAATTTTTTTAAACATCTTTGACTAATTTTATATTAAAAGTCAACATCATTCATGTGAGATTAAATATTTTCTCTCTTGCATTAATGTGTTATTAATTAGGAAAAATTGTAAACACATCCTAGTAAATCATTTCCTGAGATAATGATAAATTAATTTTATATTTTTAATTAAATAATTTTTAAGACTAGTTTATTTAATAAAAAGTAATAACCTGTTTAAATATAAAAGTAATATATATATATATATATTAATTACTATTTAATAAAATAACAAAATATAAAAGTAATTATAAAAATTAAAAAATAATTTTATAATAAAAATATTTTTTAATTATATACCAACATATATATTATTCAAAAGATGAAATATATAATTTAAAGGTATTATTTTAAAAATTATTCTATTAATAAAATTAAATTAATAATTATATGAAATTTAATAAATAGTTAATTTTAATTTAATTATTTATTATTTTAAAATAAATACTTTCCTTTATTTTTATTTTATTTTATTTTAATACAAATATTTTTTATTCCATTTCATTCATTTTAATTTTTTTTCCATACTTCTTTTATTATCAAACATACCGTTAAGGTTAATATTTATTCTCTTTATATATTTTAAATATTAAATGTACCAGTATATAAAACTTATAAATTTTTAAAAATATGTAATTTTTTATTTCTGCCTATAAAAAATACATAAAATAAATAATTTATATATTCGACTAAAAAATAATATTTGAATCATGTTTTAAAAAATGTATATTAATAATATTTATTTATAATTACTAATTTTTATAATATTCTCATTTTTAAAAAATTATAATATTTTAAAATAAAATATATCGAAAAGTCAGTTATAACAACGACAAAAAAAACTTACTTAAGATTATTAAATATGAGTTTAATGACTAATACAACCCAAGAAGAAACGTTTATTTTGATGCTTACGTTTTCAAAATAATTATATGATAAATTTAAATAATTAAAACTAATAAATTTAAATTTCATTATTCAAGGTCAACTATTCCTAACAAAAAATAATTTATAGCTTTTATAACGTTAATAACTTTTAATCAATTGCTATTAGTATTTAATTTAGCTATAGAATTACAAAAAATCACAGTTTCACTATAGCATTTATTACTTTTTTAAAAGTTTGAAATTTAAAAATAATTTTTAATAAATTTTAAATAATTATAATTATAAAGTTAAAAATTATTTTATTGACCCAAAATCCATTTAATTTTTTAAAATGTTCAAATTTCAACCAATGCCTGCAATTAAAAATCTTAAATACTTAAACTTATTATTTAATATTAATATAGTTTATTTTTTAAAAGAAATTACAACAATTTAAGAATAATTAAATGTCAACTATTCACAGATTCAATAAAATATTTATGACAAAATTTATCAAATTATAATTTTCTTAAAAATTATAGGAAATTTCTAAATATTTTGTAATTAGGAAAAAATACCCTTATATTCCTTGAACTCATATTAGATGACACATGTCTTTATAATTTTAATAAAATGAACATATTTCTCGTATTTTTAATAAAATAACACTCGTACTTTCTTTAATTCTTGAATAGACCTTCAATTTACTATTTTTCTAATAAATAAAACTCATATCCCGTATTTTTTTTAGTAAAGTGACTTATACTCTTATTTTTATTTTAAAATATCATATTAACTTCAGTTTAAATTAAATATTATAATATCATAAAAAGAAAATATTTTTACAAAAAAAACCTGAATATTTTAATTATTATATATATTGAAAAAATCGTAAAATGTTACACAGACACTAAATTATAAATTACTTTATAAAAAATATTATATTTTTGTAATTATAATAAAAATATGAGTACCAAGAGAAAATGTTACATAATAAGTTTTAAAATTTATTAATTATCCTAATATTATCGGCTAACAACATAAACAAAGATAAATTCTAATTTATATATTAAATCATCATATCTTAAAAATATAAATTAATTTTATTAATATAATTTAAATTTTAAAAATATTTTTTTAAATTTTTATTTAAATATTTTTTAATTAATTATTTTAATATAAATATATTAATAATTTTTTTTAATTTTAATTAGGTCAAAATTGGCCATCAATAGTTACTAGGATAAAAATTACGATCAATTTGATCAGGTCAATTCTGTATGTAGGACCTAACCATGTTAATACGGACCACCTGTCTTGACAGTATCTTTATTTATGAAAATAATAATAATAATAAATAACTAAATTAATAATAATAATAATAATCAAATTAGTAATAGTAATAATTATAAATATAATAATCATAATTAATAATATTATTTTTATTATTTGTGATTATTATGACTTTTTTCATGTATTATTATTACTATTATTAATTGAACTATTTATTATCTTAATAATTTTATTTTTTATTTAAATTACAGTTGTTATTAATAAAAATAAAAGTAAAAATATTATTATTAATAATGAGAAATTAGAATAGTAGTTTGAAGTAATAATAATAATAATAATAATAATAATATAAGAAAATTAATTATAATAGTTATAATAATAAATTTTTGGTGGCAAGTGTAGCTGTTTTAAATACTTAATATTGTTTTTTATGTTCTATCGTCATAAGCTCATTATATATATATATATATATATATATATATATATATATATATATATATATATATATTTTTTTTTTTTTCTTTATTCAGTCACTAATATTTTATATAATTATAGTTATATTAAGCTGAAAATATAAGACATGCTAAGGTCTCTCGCAATCAAGTTGGTATATCATTCTATTACATTCTAGTTTAATTCCGAGTTGATGTTTGAAATTATATAAAATACAATTACAAATTTATTATCTTACTATTTTAGGTTAAAAATAATTTATGTTTTCTCACATGATTGAATTGAATATTTTGTATATTTCTCTTCTTCAGATTGCATAAACTGAAGTTGTGGACAATCATGTAAATCCTATTATGGGTCAAAAGTGCATTTTTCTTTTCATTTCAGTGAAGTATGATACAATATGATATGTGGCTTTGTTAATTTTATTTTTCTATTGGTTTTACTTTCTAAATTTTATTTATTTTATTTTGGTCTCTATCATTTTATCTTAGTCAAAATAACCGTTAGAAAAATTCAAAAGTCAAAGTTTGAAAACATGAAAGTAAAAAAAATATAATATTAGAAAATTCATTTTTTCAGCAGTCAAAGGTTTAATAAGCAAAATATATCATTAAAAATTATTATAATCCAAACCACAGTTTTATAGTAATATATTTATTTGTTATGATTTTGCTTATAATATAATCTATAATTTAAAAATATGTATATATTTACTTAAACTTTTCATTATATAATAAATTAATATTTATGATGTGGATGAACCAGTGTAAAATATTAGTTGCTTAAGAAAAAATTTTGCTATTTAATGAACCCTAATAACCTATGCTTTCCATCATGACATACAACCCACTCTAGCTTTATCTTCTGAGGATTCATAGTCACCAAAGACAGTAAAAAGCAAAAGATCTTGCCCTGAAAATTTCACTGTTCTTAAACATGCAGAGGTTAATCACTTTGGTTTTGATTCTTTGCTTTGTTTCACCATGTTTATGTGTGAAGTTATTGGATGGAACTAGCAACACTATCAACGTGCTTGACTATGGTGCTCATGCAGATGGCAAAACTGATGATTCCCAGGCATATTTGTTTCTTCTTTTTCTTTCTAAACTTCTGTACACATTTTATGTAGGTTTTGGCCAATTATGAACTTTCTGTTTTGAATTCATTGCAGGCTTTTATGAGTGCATGGCAAAAGACATGTGAAACAGCAGGGACAAACACCCTAGTTATTCCACGAACAGGAACATTCTTATTGAAGAAGAGCACAATCCTGAAGGGTCCTTGCATGGCCACAAGTATTCTTATTGAGGTAGTTTTTTTAATCAGACACTGATTTATGCAGATTTGTAGTAAAACACACCCAATAGAAAAATGTATTAATGTTTTAACCAGTTTTCTTTAATGCTACACCAATAGAAAATGTGTTGAATAATTTATTTATGTTAATTTATTTTTTTGGTAGAGTGAAATGAAAAACATATCATTTTATTGGTATCATTTTTCCATTAAGAAACTCTAATGATGTTAGGATTATTAAATTTGTTATAATATATTCATAATATTACCCTTAAATTTAATAAAATAATATTAAGTTTATAAGCAAAACTTTGAACATTTTAATGCATAAAAAATATGTAAATTAAAAATAAACTATCGAATAAAATATTGTTTAATATAGAATATATAAGAACCTATTACATATATATAATTTTCTTCTCACTAAACGAGTTTTTTTCCTAAATTTTCTCATTAATATTGAAGATATATATTATAAAACATACAAGGTCATTTCTTTAAAAAATTCCTTATTACAATACGACTAATATATTTTTCATTTTACTTATCGATTTTCCCTTATTTTCAGCTTCAAGGTAAAATAATTGCACCGCCACAGAATGCATGGCAAGGTGGTTCTTCGATGATTTTGGTCACAAACATAAATGGTCTCACAATCAATGGAAATGGAGGATTAATCGATGGCGACGGATCTACTTGGTGGCCATGCGGCAAAAATTGTACACGACCATCGGTTAGAACATCATACTTTCTTTTATATATCTACCTTAAATTTCGATACAAAGTCTCACATTATTTAGGGTTTTTGAGTTATATATAGATTTTGTGCATATCTTACGATGAAATTTGTAAATGTGGATGGTGCAGGTGATTAGTTTCAATGCATGCAATGGTCTTACTGTTAATTACTTGAGCATCACAAACAGTCCAAAAGCTCACATAACCATAAATGGTTGTGTGGGTGCAACATTCTCACATATTAACATTCAAGCTCCTGGTGATAGTCCTAACACTGATGGAATTGACATTTCTTCTTCCAAAAATATCTTGATCAAAGATTCCAATATTGCATCGGGTAAACCCTAGTTTTCATCTTATGTATATATCAAATTTTGACAGTGTTTTATTATACCTGCAACTCTGATTTATATTGTCTTTTAAACAGGTGATGATTGTATTGCAATCATTGGTGACTCCTCTTACATCAATGCCACTGGAATTGCTTGTGGACCAGGCCATGGAATAAGGTTATAGTGTTACTAATGATATCATCAAATTATTAACACTATATTTTCTTGATTGAATTAATATCTTTTTGTTATTTCTAACTTTGACAAATTTCACCAATTAACATGGATTAATCAGCATTGGAAGCCTGGGTAAAAACAATGGTCATGACAACGTGGAACAAGTTCATGTATACAATTGCAGCTTCACAAACACTAAGAATGGAGCAAGAATCAAGACATTTCAGGTGTGTAAAGGGTGCCAATAACATTTTCTTCAACTCCAACCATTAGAAGTATATGCTTATATATTGTGAATTTTTTTACAGGGTGGACCAGGTTATGCCAGAAAGATCACATTTGAGAAAATAACATTAACACAGTCTTACAACCCAATAATCATAAATCAAAACTATGCAGATTTGACGGTACCCACTTTAACTTTACTTTCATTTGAAATCTTTGTGATCTCAAGATGCTTCTTTTGTGTTTATTTCATAGTAATGAATTTGGCGTAACTAGGGTGCAGTAGGAGTCCAAGTGAGTGAGGTTACATTTCGAGAGTTCCAAGGAACATCTACAGATGACAGAGCAATTACCTTCGCTTGTGGTCCACAAGGTTGTCTCAACATTGTGTTGGATCACGTCAGCATCACATCTTCTTCAGGAAAACCAGCTTCTTGTTCTTGCACTAATGCCCATGGAACAGTTTTATCCAGTGTTCCAAATTGTCCTTTATTGAAATGAATCGTGTTACCCTAATATGCATGCATACAAGAAATCATGTATCGACAACGAGTGTTGTTGATTTGGTTGTGAAAATAAGAGATGTTGGCTTTGTTTTCTTGCTAAGGAATCATAAAAGTTGCTTCATGAATATGTCATTGTGAATTTTATATTTTACCATTGTTTAAAAATTGGACGTGAAAACATAACTTCGGATTTAAAGTATGAATTTACATCAAATTTAATAGAATAATATTTTTATAATATAATAAATATATAATAAATTTATTAATAATAATATTTTTATAAAAAATAATAACAAAAAATTACTGTTATAATTACTATAATTATAATAAAAATTATAAATATAAAATATCTTAAAAAGAAAAAGATAAATAATTATTAAAATAAAATAAAAATATAATAAACTAATTATTTTTTAAAATTAACGCAAATAACGTAAACTAAAAAATTAAAATATATTATATCATTTATAAAAGAATTTAATTTTATATTTTTTTTACAAAATTGATTCGACCGAAAACTTTATTTAATTTTTTCAGTTTTATTTCAATATAATTAAAATCTAATTATTTAAAAGTAACAGATCCATTTTTAGACAAGTTTCCAATTAAATTGGCTGAAGTGGCTTATCCAATCACGTGTTTCAAAACAGTGTATTTTACATTATTTTTATATCATTTTCATTTTATTTTATACCAGAGGATGCATAGAATAGTGAAAAACTCTTTGTCAAAGCTTAAAAATAATTTTATCTATTCCGCCTCAATCTAGAATTAAATATATGCTTTTGCTAAATAGAAACTAAACAATTAATTAAAATCTAAAAAAGTGGATTATGTATATTTTACTAAAACATATGTGTTACATGAAGAAATGTTAAAATAAATATTGAAAGTAAAAATAAGTTTTAGTTAGTTTGACAGTATTAATTTGTCTGTTTCATGAAATATGACTTCAATAGATTATACGTGGAAAAAATAATATTTATTCATGAAAAAATAAATTTTATGTGAAAATAATAGATTTTATGTGGAAAAAATCAATTATTCCTGAAAAAAAATTATTAGATGAAAATTCAATTTAAAATTAATAGTTAAAAATCTAGATAACTAACATTTGATATTAATTCATAAATCAATTTAATAAAAATAATATTTAACTTAGTTAATATAATGACTATATATTTTTTTGTTTTTAAAATAATTAATTTTAATAAAAAAATTAGTAAAATTTATTCTCAATAATAATAATAATGATAATTATTTTAATATTTTAAACATTTTTTAAATATTTTTTCATTTCTTTCAACATCGTTCATCATTCATAATAAAGATAACAAAAGAAAAACAAAAAACAAAAAAACAACAGCACAATGTTTGCCATAACTTGGCTAATGTAAACCCTAACATAACATCAGTTATAAAAAAAGTCCACCTTTGACCAAACCAAACCTGTTTTTGAGGGATTTTTCCATTAGAAATAAAATTCTACTTCAATAATTTACGTTTCAAAAAAGATTGCATTAAATATTGAAGAATGTAACAATTATATTTATACGTTATAAGAATTGTTGTTTTTTTAAGAGAGTTATTTAATTTTTTATAAAAATTGATGTGCAAAATACATTTATATAAAGAAAGAAAAATTAAAATCAAATGACGAGGGTACTGGACCAAAACTCATGAAGATAATAGGAGACTAAATAGAACGAAATTGAGGAAGACTATTTGTATTTTTAGCAAAGACATAACTTATGAAACTTATCAATTTTTAAAATATAAGAATAAAAAAAATTAGAAAAAAATTAAAGACAAATATATATATTTAACTAAATAGAAAAATGATACATTAACTGAAGGGAGAAATGACAAATATATTATTACATTACATCTCTCATCATTGATTATATGCATTTAAGAACAAAAAAAAAAACGTTTGTATCATTAAATAGGAGTAATATTTTTTTTTCCTCTAATTATTGCTTTATTTAAAAAGGTGAATTTACAAAAATAATAATGCTTTAAAAATTAAATATGTTAATTAAGTTGGGTTGATGGACTCATCAATAATTTCCAATACAATAAATATTATAATAAAATACAAAATTTATGATAATATTAAACTAAAATTTGTAATAAAATAAAATAAAAAAATATAAATTGACAGGAGCGTTGTATTTGTGTTCTATATAATGAACCTCACATCTTTGTTTTCTTCACAATCATAAATAACTTTAGTCAACCCTCCACAAGTCGTAATCCTCTATAGAGGATTAAAAAGAAAAATTGGTGTTGAGTGAAACATGCAAAGCCTAATGATTTTTGCTTTGGTTCTTGCTTTTATTTCTCCATGTATATGTCAGGGACATAATTATAATGTGTTAGACTTTGGTGCTAAGGGTGATGGCAAAACGGATGATTCACAAGTACGTTTCTTTCTCAAGAATTTTACAGGCTTAATTCTTCGGATACGACTTATATGTTAGATAATTTTTTTAGTGTTAATTAATTTGATTTTAAGATGAAATCATATAAACTCTCTTTAGTTTGATTTATTGTAATAAAAATGATTTTTGAAAATGGATCGGTTCTGAAAACATGATTCAATGTTTAAAGGTTTAATAAAATATAATCGAATTTAATAAAATAATATTTTATAATATAATAAATGTGTAATAAATTTATTAATAATAATATTTTTTATAAAAAGAAAAAAATAATAAAGACTACAATAAAAATTATAAATATAAAATATATTAGAAAAAACATAATTATTAAAATAAGATAAAATATAAAAAAATAATTATTATTTAAAGTCAACGTGAGATAAAAATATTATATCTTTTATAAAAAAAATTGATTTTAAATAATTTTTTATTATCAAAATTGGTTCAACTAAAAAATTATCGATTTTATTCTAATTCAATTAAAATTTGATTATTTAAAGTGATATATTAATTTCTAGTCTGGTTCAAATGTTGTTGAAATATATATATATATATATATATATATATATATATATATATATATATATATATATATATATATATATATATATTAGTTTTAAATGTGAAGTAATTCTTATTTCTCATTGTAGGCATTTATACAAGCATGGCAAAGCACTTGTGGAGCACAAGGAGTGGCAACTTTGCTTATTCCTCAAAATTATGTCTTCTTGTTGACACCCATATTGCTAAAAGGTCCTTGCTATGCATCTACTCAAATTCAGGTATTTCTATTTTTTTTTTCATTTTAATGTAACTTTTACTTTAATTAATTCTCTCATAAATCAATTTTATGGGTCACATTGTCACGAGACTATGTTTATATTTTTATTTTAAAATAAAATATTTGTTTCTGAAATTATAAATTTTTGAGATAAGTAAACGTAAATTAAAATTTTAAAAAAGAGAAAAAAGAAAACATGTAAAAGAAGATATAACATAAGCATAATTTTTTTTTTATCTCGTTCAAAAAAAAACGTTAAAAAAGAAATAGACTATAAATAATATATTTAGAACCAAAATCAAAAGAAACAGTCTTCCTCTCAATATTTAATCATAAAATACAAAATAGAAAAGTAAATGCAATTAATATATCAGAAAAAAAAAACGTATTTGCTGGTTTTTCAATCGTTATGCATTGAATAATGATGGTAATATGAATTATAAATTTACTAATGGGTTTTCACAATTTTTATACTATTAATTTTTTAAAATAAATATTCTTATTATTTTTTTCTTTTTATCATTCTATATATATATATATATATATATATATATATATATATATATCATTTTTTTTCTATTTTTTATATATGTTATGTATTTTTTTATTACTTTTTGTGGATCATATTTTAGTATTATTATAACTGTTTTCTTATTATATTATATCTCTTATTTTTGTTAAAAACATAATAAAAATAATTATATATTTTTCATAAAAAAAAATATTATTTTATAAATTAATGACACACAAAAAATACATTTAAAAAAAATAAATACAATTACAATTTTTTTTATTAACAATTACTTAGAATAGAAGTACTTTACCGATATGCTTAAATAAAGTATTATTTATTTGAAGTAATTTTTTATTAGAGAAATATTATGTAACATGATAAATTGTTTAAATTTTGTTAATAGTTACAAAAATAAGTAAATGAGGAGAGAATAATTTTTTAACATTTATTAAGAAAACTTATGATGAAATAATACTTAAATAAAGTATTAATTATTTAAAAATAATTTTCATTAAATTAATTGTATTTTGTATCTTCTATGATAAGTTACTTAATTTTTTTGGTAGTTGTTCATCTAACAATTTAAAAAATAAAGAAATTAAAATAAATGATAAAAGAATGATTTTTTAAAAAATATTTATTAATTGTTTTTTCTATGGAATATAATCAATATTGAATTGCTTAAAATTGATGTGATATCATTAATTTTTATTTTATATTAATTGCACTTATTAGAGATATTCTAAAATGAATATTAAATTACTTAAAAATAAAGTCACATTATAAATCTTTATTTTGCAAGAAACAACCCAAATAAGTTACATAGAAAATTGAGTTCTATCAATTATTTTTCCTCTCACATTATTAATAATTTTTATTTTTAAAAAATAAAAATAGGTTAAGTAATTTTTTATTTTTATTTTTAATTTCGTCCCATTATTATTATTATTTGTTCTATAATTTGATTTTATTTTTTTCTTTAAAAGGATTGGAGTTAGATGTTTAATCTATAAAATAAAAATATAATATAATACCGATACGATGATTTATTGATATATATATTAATATTAATGTGACATGTTATTTAGTATGTGTAAACAGTTACATTATCAACTAACATTATGTTAATGTTAAGTTATATTGTTGTTAGACAATCTAACCATATTTATGGAAGGTACTTTGACCATTTAAAAAAAAAGTAAAATTAAATTAATATAAAAAATAATGATGGAATAATATTTTTTTATTAGAAAACTCTTAAAAGCACATTTGACTCTATATCCAAATATGCTGATTGCTCTTTGAAAAAGCTTGAATTTAATATTTTATATCAAATGAGACTAATTTTTGCAACAAAATAATTTATTTCTTTAGATGTATCTTATCCCAAAGAACTTGCTGTTATATCAGAAGTGTCTGAAGTGGCTTGTTCCAATTATCCCACTTCATCAAAATATAACAGTAATTATCCTTAAACTTCTACACAGTCTAAAATGTTTTGTTGGTGTTTTACGATTTATATAAATTATATTTAGCATCAACAATCAACAAAACACTGAGTAGAAGTTCTTTTGGCTTCTGGTTTCCTTTCAAAAAGCATTTATAAAAAATCCTCACAGTATGACCAATTTCGAATTTTGTAATTTTATTTATTAAACTTTTTACCAATGTTCTTACAGATTCGGGGAAAAGTAGTTGCAGCTGAGATGAATGCATGGCCAACTTATAAGTCTGCTTGGATTATGATCTCAAATGTAAATGGTCTCACAGTGGATGGAAGTGGAGGATTGATCGATGGCTACGGTTCTTCCTGGTGGTCATGTGGAGACTGTCAACGACCATCGGTTACGCAATTCTGAAAACTTTCTTCTGTTTTTTATATCAGATAAACAAAATCAGTGGTTCAGCATTTGTTAATCTTATTAAATTTAAGATTCTGAGTTTTGTTTTTTCATGCAGGCTATTACTTTTAATTCATGCAATGATCTTAGTGTTAGTTACCTGAGCATAGTTAACAGTCCAAAAGCTCACATGCATATACACAGTTGTGTGGGTGCCACATTCTCTAGTATCAGTATTCAATCTCCTGCTGATACTCACAACACTGATGGAATGGATGTTTATGCTTCAAAAAATATCTGGATCAGAGATTCAACTATAGCATGTGGTAAACCAGTTTTTCGTCTCATGCATATATACATATATGTATGTATATAGTATATGCAGTTTTTTAACATACAGTGTCCTTTTTCTGAATAGGTGATGATTGTATTGCTATCAGTGGTGGCTCCTCTTATGTCAATGTTTCTGGGATTGCTTGTGGACCAGGCCATGGAATTAGGTTTTTCTTTCTTCTTCTTCTTTTATATGCAAATTTGTAGCATTTTAATTAATGTGATGAACTAACATATGAATGAATGAAATAATCAGCATTGGCAGCCTGGGAAGAGGCAATGGTAATACAGTGGAAGAAGTTCATGTCCAAAATTGCAATTTCACAAACACAAAAAATGGAGCAAGAATCAAGACATTTTCTGTAAGAATCTTGTCCCATGTTTTTCGTTGTGAGATTGAATGGAATATTTTACACCTTGTCATTGTTTTTACAGGATGGATCAGGTTATGCAAGAGGAATAACTTTTGAGGAAATTACACTGAACCAAGTTCGCAATCCAATAATTATTGACCAATTCTACCATAACAGTAACTCAAGGGTAATAATCACTTTACTTGATTTTCATGTACGAGTAAAGTTTTGGCATATAGATATATCAAAGAATGTGATTAATATGTTTTTGGCATGATTAGAATGGAGGAGTGGAAGTGAGCGGAATCACATATCGTGGATTTCAAGGAACATGTGTGAATGGTGCAGCAATCACCTTGGATTGTGGGCCACAAGGTTGTACGAACATTATGTTGGATGGAAACGCCATTGTCTCTACTGAACCAGGAAAACCAGCTACTTGTTCTTGCAACAATGCCCATGGAACAGCTTCATCCACTGTTCCAGATTGTTCTTGCTTATTGCCATGAATCCATTATTCTCACTCTATGCCAAATAATGAAAATACTATATCACTTAGATAAATATCATTATGAGCACCCAAATTTTATTTTATTTTTCTTTCAGTATATACAATCATGCAAAACTAAGCAAAAAGAAAAAGAAAAGTTCTAAAGGAATGGAAGATATTTATTATATGAAGCTCTAAAAAAATAATACAAGTTCATAGTGAAAATAATTAACTGTTTGATTAAATTTGAATTCATTCTTGTATAAATATATAATGCAGAAATTTTTCTATATTTAGAGAATTTTTGATAGTGATAGTATTACGCAGAGTCTTATATAATCTTTTAGTACTTATTTTATTAAGTTAAAAAGAGATATTAAAATAAAATTTAAAATTTCATATAATATTATACATTTAAATTAATAATAATGAGCTAATTAGATTTAGTTATCTGTTAAGTAATAAAACTTATCCATATGAAAATGATTCTATATATTATCTAAATAGGTTTGAATCCTTTTATACTGCGTATATATGTTTAATTATATAAAAGATAATATAATTTTATTTTAAAATTATCTATTAAGTAAATTTAAATTTAATTATTACCGTTGTCCCTTTCTAAATTGGAATAATCCTATTATCGTGTTCCTTCTGAAATTTATCCAAAATCTCATACTGTTTAGTAGATATCATCATAAAAAATAACAGACATATATACTATTCATTATTCTTCTTATACATGTATGAAGGTAACATAGTTCATGAAGATAAAGAACAATTTGGAACAGTGTATGTAGCTGTTCCATGGGCATTATTGCAAGAACAAGTAGCTGGTTTTTCTGGTGTAGCAGAGACAATGTTGATATGATCCAACACAATGTTGAAACAACCTGGTGGAGAGCAATTCAAGGTAATAGCTAGCTCCTTTTCAGATGTTCCACTAAATCCACGGAATGTCACATCACTCACGTTCAGTGATGATAATCCATTCTATGTACACCAACAATGCAACGGTAATAAGCAATAAACAGTGAAATAATAAGCTGAAATGACAAAGATATTAGTACAAACACAACATTAAGGGAATACCGTTGAATATTTACTGCCATAAGTCTGGTCTATGATTATTGCGTTGTTAGCCTGTACTAATGTGATGTTCTCAAAAGTAATGTTTCTTGCATAACCTGATCCACCCTGCAAAAAATTGGATGATGTACACAATATTTCTTTCATGAAGGGACTGATAATGAAAAGAAAAAGGCCTTTCCAATATTTCTATATAGGATTTGATTCTTAGTTTCATCAAGTATTTCTCTAAATCATTCTAAGTCATGGTTGTTTATATAATCACTTGGTTTGAAGAAGAGGGTACAGAAAGAAAATGTAATTATATTACTTACTGGGGCTGTCTTGATTCTTGCTCCATTAGTAGTGTTGGTGAAGCTGCAATTTTTTACATGAACTTCTTCCACTGTTTCATAAGTTTGGTCTCTACCAAGGCTGCCAATGCTGATTAATTTGTTCATGTTAATAGATGAAGTTTGTTGGAAAAGATATTAAGAAATCTTATGTAGTGCAAAGTGTTTGATAATTCCATAAAATGTTTGTAAAAACCTTATTCCATGGCCTGGTCCACAAGCAATTCCAGTGGCATTGATGTTGGAAGAACCACCACTGATGGCAATACAATCATCACCTTTTTCGAAAGACAATTAATACATGTTAGAGTTGAAGAAATAGTGATTATTTTAAAACCATACAACATTGAAATCTGATATATGTGTAGATAACATGAAAACATGGTTTACCACATGCTATAGTGGAATTTTCAATCAAGATATTCTTGGAAGTAAAAATATCAATTCCATCAGTGTTGGAGCTGTCACCAGGAGAATGAATGGTGACATTAGAGAAGGTGGCACCCTCACAGCCATTGACCCTTATGTGAGCTTTTGGACTGTTTGTAAGGTTCAGATTTCTAACAGTAAGATCATTACAAAACTTGAACCTAAGAATCTGCATCAACAACATAAAAAATTTAGTCTCAATATATATATATATATATATATATATATATATATATATATATATATATATAGAGAGAGAGAGAGAGAGAGAGAGAGAGAGAGAATAATTTAAGAACTTAAGATATGTATGAGAGAACACAAAGTTTAGACAGAAGATTCAAACCGTTGGTCGTCCACAAGTGATGCATTTCCACCAAGTAGAACCATAGCCATCAATTGATCCTCCACTCCCATCAATGGAGAGACTACTTACGTTAAAGATTGAAATCAAATTGGTCTTTTGACCTTTCAGCCATACATTCATGGCAGGTGCAACTATTCTCCCTCGAACCTGCATACATACATTAATTACTTTGTTTTTAAACGTAAATGTTGCTTCAAATTTACAAACTTTATAAGGACTTATCAGAGTTTTTAATACAACTAGTTAGTTTGATATAACCACAATATTTAAACAGATGAATTGTGAATTGAATATGTTGTACCTGAATATTAACACTCGTGGCATTGCAAGGACCTCTAAAGTTTAAGCCTTTTACCATGAATTCTCCATTTGGTGGTACAAGAAGAGTTGATGCTTCTTCTGCTCCACACGTAGCATTCCATGCACTTACAAAAGCCTACATCAATTCAAACTCATAAAAGTCTCATTTCACATGAAATTTAAATTATATTAAATTAAACTTGGACATTAAAAATAAAAAGAAAACAGAGAGAAAAAAGTACCTCAGAATCATCAGATTTGCCATCACCTTGAGCACCATAATCCATCACATTATAGATTTTGTTTTGGGTTCCAAGAAACCTCCTCTCACATAAACATGGTGAAACAAAACCAAGAATCAAAAGAAAAGTGATTAGTATTTGCATGTTTTATAAGAGTGAAATGGGAAGTGCAAGATAATTTCGTTTTGTTGGGTGAATATATAATAAGTTCAAGAATGAGGGGAAGCATAGATGTTTTAAATATGTTTTAATGGTCAATAAATGTTTTATTGAATATATACTATAACTGCATGCGTAGTATATTAACTGTATAATATTAATTATATAATAAATTAATATGAAAAACATAGTAATAACTTGTTATTTCTTAAAATTTATTATATTTCATAAATATTACATTTAATATTATTATTGTTGGATATTACACTTTTCAAAAGATAAAATATAAAAAAACAAATTTACTTAGAAGAGTTTACCATATGAAATGTCACTATTTAATTGTGATTTTATTTATTTTATTTTCATGACGAGACAATTGATACAATATATACCAATTAGGGTTTATTACTAAGCCAAAAATTATAATTAATAATCAAACACAACATTTTTTTATGTAAGGGTATAACGGTCTATACAAATTATTATATTTAATAAGTGTAATACTTATTATTTTATTATTATTATTATTATTATTATTATTGTTAAGTTTAATTATCTAATATATTTTAATAGACATAAAACAACTATTGTTATTAATTTTAATTATAACATATTTAATAAACATAATTCATATTAGTGTTTAATAGTAATAACAATAAACATAAATATCTTTAATTTTAATACATAAAAAAAAAGTTGAATATTTTTTATATATAATGTGAAATTTTGGATAATGATTTATGCATTTGGTGGAAAGTCAAGTAACCAAAACTAGATACTTAAAACAAAAATGAATGTAGTCTTTATATGAAAATATCAAATAAAAATATTAATTATATTTATTAAATATAAAAAATACTTTATGATAATAGTTATTAGTTGTATTTTCTAATACAGAATTATTAATTACCTTTAATAAGATGTACTATATATATAGGTAAAAATAATAAATATTAAACATAATACTTATTTATTATCATTATCAACTTTAATATTAATTGAAATTAAGTACTTTTTATTACTATATAGTATTTATTCATAAAATTCATTAATATAGTAATTATGATAAATCAATATTATTTATCATATTTATTAAATATAATGTATAGCTGTGTTTGGAAGATTCGATACTAAAATTTCCTTAACCAATATGTCCTTTTATATTTTTAATTAAATCCTTCCATTTAAATAAATAGTAAATAGAATATGATTCTTTATTTTTAAGTCGTAAATATATTCTTAAATGATTACAAATGTTTTCTCGGTGTGAAAATAATTGTAATTTTGAGATTAAATTCATTGATATTCTTTACCAATTGATTATAATAGATAATTCATTAAATTATTTATCAATTCCTTTATATATTTATTGAATTTCTAATCATGCTGGTAATTAATGATTATGCTTGTAATCCTCCTAACTTCATTTAAATAAAGCAAAATTGATCTTAATGAATTTGAATATAAACAACTTTCAACTATTTTAGAACTATTTAATGCTAGTATTTAACAATATCTTTATATTTAAAGTTAAACATCGTGTCTAATATATACAATTAAAGATATTTTATAATTTTGGAAATTTAAATATAAGTTAAAATTCATTGAATAAAAATGAGACTTTTAAATAATTTATAAATAAGAAAGAATTACAAATTTAATATTTTAAGGGTTTTAGTTGAAATTGGTATAATATCCATTGTGTCTTTTCGTTAAAATCTCGTCCTAGGTAAGTCTTATTATGTGAACAAGGAGACAAATAAAAATACTACTAAATAGAAATACTTTTGCTGGAAGATGTATAAAAAAAAGCCCATAAATTTAATATTTTAAAGTTTAAGAATAAAGATGGTGTGTAATATTATTTTTTATATGATTGAATTTTCTACAAGATAATTTTTCAATATTAGTCTTTTTAAAATACCCTCCATGAAAATGTATTCTTTATTTTATGAAACCAACAACATTTAATAAACTGGCTTTTGTTCTTAATAAAAAGTTAAATAAAGTCACTTATACTTTAGTTTAGAAGTAATACTAATTTAGTATATTTTAGAAGGTATATTTCACACAAATTAAAAATATAACATTTTCGGAATAACTTTAGTCAAATAACCTCACTGTCTCATTTATCCTTTGGTCTATTAATGATTTGTGGATAAAGTTTATGTTCACACCACAAAAATTAATTCAAAATAATAATAATAATAATAATAATGATAATAATAATAATAATAATAATAATAATAATAATAATAATAATAATAATAATAATAATAATGCTCATTAAAAAACAGCATAAGCATCGATCGGTTAATAATTATGACATTTAATTATTATTTAGCGTCCATGTTTAATAATTTATTTTCAGTGACAATGAAGTATGTATATAAACCCCTATAGCTATTATCCTTTCACAAATGAAAAAAGAGTTATTCCTGAAATTGTTAAAAATGCAGAGGGTGATAAGTTGCATGTTGATTCTGGGTTTTGTTTCAGGCACTTTGTGTCTGAGCAGCAATGCTCAAATGAAGTATTCGAATGTGATGGACTATGGAGCTCATGGCGATGGCACAACTGATGATTCAAATGTATATGTGTTTGTCTAAAGTATATTTTTTTTTTAAATAAATGATTCGAAAAATTGCTTACTTTTCAAAGAGTTATTTTAAGATTATTAAATAAATTGTATGTTTATGTTTAATTTTGTAAAATGTGATAAATAATTTTTTTAAAACTTTATTTCTAATCAACATGATATTTCTCAGATATTGAACTTGATGATTGAATTTTTTAAATGATTTAGGGTAAATTTTAATTAATAAATATTAATTTGAGTTTAATTAATTTTACAAAACATATTTATAAGATGAATGTTTGTTCATATCTGATATACTTCTGTGAAACCCTATCTTTAATAAATGTGATATTTGAATTTCTATATATCAATAATATAAGAATGTATATTTGATTGTAATAATTTTTGTTTCTAACCAATGGAATGATCCTTAAATTGATTGAAGGCAATTTTAAATGCATGGAATGGTGTGTGTGGAGGGGAAGGACCAGCAACTCTATTGATACCTTCAACCAAAACCTTTTTGGTGAAAAGATTAAAGCTAAATGGTCCTTGCAAGGCCCCAAATGTAGCCATTAAGGTATGCCTAACCAAATCATTGGCACCACAAATGGAGCAAGAATCAAGACATGGCCGGTGAGTAAATGATATACTGTGTTAACTTTTTATTAGGTTAAATAATCATTTTCATCTTGTCTTTCACTGTTTCATTGTTGCACTTATGTTGTCCAACTTCATGCAGGGTGGATCAGGCTATGCAAGAAAGATCACGTTTGAGGAAATCATACTTCAAGATGTTAAGAATTCAATCATTATAGACCAGTACTACGACATTAAAACTCAAAGTGAAGGGGTATAAACTTGAATTTGCATTCACATTATTAAGTCATAGTGATTTCAACAACTGTTCATCATCACTTACCACAAATGTGATTTGAAATGTTTGGTGAAATAGGAAAGTGCGGTGAAGGTGAGTGAAGTGAGTTATCGAGGCTTCAATGGAACTTCTGCAAGTGATAAGGCAATCAACGTGAACTGTAGCCCATCTGGTTGTTCCGACATTTCAATGGATCAAATATACATTGTCTCTTCACAACCATCCAGAAAAGCCTATGCTTTTTGCCAGAATGCTAAAGGGACCATTGGAAACACTGTTCCAAAAGTATCTTGTGTATGAAATTAATTCCTAAATGAAGGAGTTGTAAGGAAAATTAGGGTTTGTTAAATACTGCCAAAATTTACAGCAGCATTTTCATTGTAAGAAGTAATAAGGATATATTGTGTATTTTCTTCTCTTTCCTACTGATCTTATACTCCCAAAAGCCCTATAATGTTTATAACCCTAAATTATGGATTTTCATAAACTTGAAAAAACAAAAAAACAAAATAGTAATTTGCAGCATTTTCAACCACAAAGCAATAAGAACCATTGAGGTTTTTTAATAAAAAAAAAACATAGACAACTAAAAACTACAAATTTAGTGAGAGTAAGATCGTTTCATTATAACGTGTTAAAATATTACTAGCACCAACTTCTTTCTATATGTATATAAAAAATGTTATGTTTTGTAACGAGAGGAACTCGGTCTTACGTTTGTTACAATGATATTATTAGAGTCAATTTTTATATTTGAGATATTGTCTACTTTAAAACTCAAATCTATCACAATTTAATTCTTACGAAATATTTCGGTGGGTTAAGAGAGAGGAGTGTACATAAATTATCCTTAATACCGACTCATAAACGATGTAGGACTCATAAATATATCAGAACATAATCTCCCAATTAAGGATTAAGAGATATGAGAATGGAGCGATACTCAACTATTCGACTCTCTCGGCTCCATGGTGCGAGTCAAATGTTCTTACCATACTGGTAGAGGTCGACAAGAGGATGTGATGAGATCGGTGAACTGTGTTTCGAGTTTGGATTTCAACTTCGACTTAAAAGATATTAAATGATGACTTCCTTTAAAAAGAGTATAGATCTTTTGCAAAAATATACTTCAACATTCAAGTCAAGTCTTTCACAAGAAAATAATATATTTGAGAATGAGTGGTAACATGAGATTTACTTCATGACGAAATCTCCTTATAGGACTTAAAAAATAATAATAACCTAAAAGATCATGACTAATGATCCGAAAAATAATAAATGGTAGCCCAAATAATAATAATAATTGATATAAAATAATATATAAAAGAAAATTAATAAAATAATATATAATAAAATAAATAAATAAAATGGTTTTAATAGATTTTAATTAGGTAAAAGACGGATAATTAATTTATATTTAGGGTGTGTGTTTTATTTAGGATTCTCGATATATATATATATATATATATATATATATATATATATATATATATATATATATATATATATATAATATTCTCGTTATATCATTAAATGCTAATCAAATGAAGCAGCTCATCAACCGAAAAAAATAAATAAAAGAGACTTAGTCGAAAAAATGCACTAATTTGAATTCTGATGTATAGTAAAATATATTAATTAATTTAATGTTGTAAAATATAGCTTTTAATATAAATTATCATACAAATTTAATTTAGGTGTATTGCATGATAAATTTACATACAAAGATGTATGATTTTTGGTATCACCCCGTGCACATAATATACTAGTTGAAATTAGAATTGGGATTATATAGGGAAAATAATAATAAAATATTTATTATATATTAAATTAAAATGTAATTCATCTATTGAATTATCAATTATGAATTTACAAATCAAAATATAGATTAATGATAATTAGTAATTAGTAATATTTTATTGTTAAGAAAATTCATAATATTTTAAAAGTAATTAATAAATAAAGTCATATGTTATTATATGATATATTATTCATTAGTTTGTATTTCTCCAAAGAAATGAATAATTTGTTGCTTAAAAATATATAACAAAATTTTTAATAATCAAATAAAGGCAATAACAAATGTTACAATAATTTTATTATATCACGTTGGACGACGACTCGGTGGAACAGGCTTACAATTGATTCTTTTTCAGACATTGTGACGTAAACTCTTAGAAAAATTAAGAAAATTAAGTTATAGAAATTAAGTTATAGAAACTATTAGAAATATAAATCTAGTTTTAAGAATTACTAAAAAAATGTAAAAAGTTAAGTTAAGGTGTAATGGAGGAAGAATTATCTTTAAGTTCCTAGATAATTCTAGAAAAAAATGTCTCAAGTTTATATATAGGTGGTGACCTTTTTACTTTTAAGTGAAACACTTTCAATTCACTTTCAAGATTAATTATTGTTTTCTCTTGTACAAACATTTTTTTATTTAACTAACTCTTTCAATTTTCTATAATCTACACTATCTAATCATCTTTCCTATTTTTCTTAAAATACTATAACAAGTGGTATCGTAACTACGCTTAATTATCTATTAGGCGTAGATACAATCCAATTATCTACAAAAATCTTACTATATTTTATACCAATTCCAACCAATGATTAATGTTAATCTTTCTTCATCTATTCATCTACTTATTCTCACGAGAGAAAATTATAATTTTTGGAGCATTAAAATGAAAATATTTTTTTGCTTTCAAGATTTATGGGAAATTGTAGAAAATAACTTTATTACTCCTACAAACATTTCTACATTAATAGCGACTCACACAACAAGAAAAAATACTTTTAGCGACCGAAATTAGTGACCGAATTTTTTCGGTCGTCATTAGTGATTGATTTAATTCGGTCACAATTTAGTGACCGATTTAGCGACCGATTTAATTCAATTACAATTAGTGACCGATTTTTCTACCGAAATATGATTTCGTTACACTTTTATATTTAGCGACCAATAGTTTTCGTCACAAAAATTTCAGTCACTAAATCGGTGACTACTCCATACTAAAATAAAGAAAATCATTTAGCGATCGAATTATAAATTGAAATAGTTACCGAATTGAAATCGGTCACTAATGAAAAAATAGCGACCGAATTGAAATCGGTCGCTAATGGACATAATTTTTTTAATTATATTTAAATTTATTTTTTTATAAATATACTTTAATTATTTTAGTATATTTTTTACAATTTATTTATTAAAAGTAATTTATTTTTTAAAAGTAATTTATTTTTTAAAATATACTTTAAAAATAAACTTTGGTCTCAATGTTAACAAAATGAATATTAACTTTAATTTTAAATTACTAAAATAAAAATATTATTAAAAATAAATCAAATTTATTAAAAAATTAAATTGTAATAAATTAACATTGGAGTAATATTAACTATTCAATACAATTATTAAGAAAAGTTTAATAACAAATATTTTTTATTATATTTTTCAATTGAAATTAAATTATATTTTAAAAATTTATATTAAAAAATTGAACATATCAAATTATCATGTTTTAATTCCTCGTTAACTTAATTAATTAAAAAAATTACAATTTCAATCAAATTATTACAATTTTATTTTATAATACTTTATTTTTAATCTAGTTTTTAAATTTATTGCTTTATTATTATTAATTGCTTAATCATAGTTGTTTTCATATAATTGATATATTAGAACAAAATTTATATCAAAATATAATTGATATACATTAGATAATAAATATATTATGTAATTAAATTATTTATAAAAATATAATTATCTTTAAGTTGAAATATTTTTTACTTTAAATATACAAATTTTTTTTCTCCAATGACACGTATTCGTTTTTTAATTACTCAAATAATCACTACTACAAATAAGGCTTTCCACGTCTGTCTCCGGAAGGCCTTAATTACTCAAATAATCACTACTACAAATAAGGCTTTCCACGTCTGGTTCGGAAGGCCTTCAACTGCGGCTCCGACGTTGTATCGAGCGACGTGGGACGTGGATAGTCTCTAACTTTCAAATCGAAAATTTTTATTTATTTCCAACCCCTCTTTATTTATCTAGAAATCCCCCTCTCGTTTTCCGACGTTGTATCGAGCGACGTGGGACGTGGATAGTCTCTAACTTTCAAATCGAAAATTTTTATTTATTTCCAACCCCTCTCTATTTATCTAGAAATCCCCCTCTCGTTTATATTATATTTTTATTATTTATCATATTTTTTTGAAGTTTAGAGCATTACCAAATTAATTTTTTCATCGACGTGATTCACGTTGTATCGAGCGACGTGGATAGTCTCTAACTTTCAAATCGAAAATTTTTATTTATTTTCAACCCCTCTCTATTTATCTAGAAATCCCCCTCTCGTTTATATTATATTTTTATTAGGTCCCCCTCTCTTTTATATTATATTTTTATTATTTATCATATTTTTTTGAAGTTTAGAGCATTACCAAATTAATTTTTTCATTGACAGGATTCGAACCCAGCACCTTAGTGTTGGAAGCTAATACTCCAACCACTAAACTACTCGAATTCTTTGATAGTAACTTACAAATAAATTATATTTATATACAAATAAATATATATCCGTGTAAATATATAAATACAAATATATTTATATATTTTGATATATTTATATAATTATATATTTATATGATTATATATTTATATGTTGGATGTGAGGGCACGTTCGACGATGAAAGTGTGTGTCGAATGAGTTTTCAAAATTTGATGCCAAATTTGTGAGCGGGTCTCTTTATATGAGTTTGTAATTTAATGACAGAATATAATATTTATAATTTATTTATATAATGATATAAAATAAATTTGGAAAACGCATCATTCGCTCAAGCGAAAAATACTAATTTTCGCTCAAGCGAGGCTTGAGTGAGTGAATTTTCGTGAGTTTTAACGTATTTTCACTCAAGCGAGAGTCAATCTCACTTTCATCCTCGAACGTGCCCTCATATCCAACATATAAATATATAAATATATTTATATTTATATATTCTATATTTATATATTTACATGGATATATATTTTTTTGTATATAAATATAATTTATTTGTAAATTATTATAAAAAAATTATAGTAGTTTAGTGGTTGGAGTATCAATTTTAAACTCTAAAATTGAATTCCGTCAGTAATAATTCTCTAACTTAAGTGAATTTTTGACTAAAAAAAATAAAAACACTTTCCGAGAAAATATATATAAATAAATATATATTTATTTGTATATAAATATAATTTATTTGTAAGTTATTATCGGAAAATTACAGTAGTTTAGTGGTTGGAGTATCAA